GAAGGGGTGGGCACAGCGCGAGGAGCCGCCCCGCCGCCCGTGGGAACGCGATTGGTGGTGGATTCCCGCGGAAATCATGGCTCCTTCCCCCGCACCGCCCACTCCGCCCGCCTGGCCTATTGCAAGAACTTCACAGAGGCGGGCGTGGCCGGACTCTGTACTTTATTGAAATCTTGGGGCGAGGGGAAGGAAGCGAACACTAGGAGGCGCCAGACCCAGTGACTGGAGGCCGGTGTGGGCGCGCCCCGAAGAGGAGGGTAGGTCAGCGGTGGTTGAGCAACTTCCAGCGGCTCAAACCTACACCACAGCCCAGTACATGATTCCAGTCTCACACGGGCCAAATAAACGAGGCATGCGGGCCGCGAGTTTGACATGCTTGTGCCAGACATGTGAGGAAGCAGGGCCGGGCTGATGTGAAACTCCAGCAGTGAGAGTGCAGGGGTGAGGATGAAGGATGAGAGTTAGTGCGATCGACTCCAGCCTTCACATTGGATGACGCGAGTATCCTTAAGACACTCCGCCACCTCTGCCGAGAAGCTCACCTTTATCCTTGCTGATCCACCTCTCCACCCATCCTCGAGAAGGGAAGACCCTAACCATGGGGCAGTTTTACTCCCCCGCTTCCCGTAGGATGGGGACCCTTCGTGGGGTACTGCTCTCCAGCCCTTGGGCCAGAACTGCTTCCCGCATGGAGCAGGAGTTAGCACAGCTTTGACTAGCCTTGTGCCTCCGGGAGGCTGGGCACACGCCTGATCACTCTCAGCCCACGCTGTCCGCAGACACAACTGGTCCCCCACTCTGTCTACCATCCCTCACCAGCAGTTGCCTGAGACAGACCGAGAGATGTGCGGATGGCCTGCCTACCTTGAGAACATCATAGGCTTTCGGATCAGAAGAGCAGAGTTCAGGTTATTTTTATCCTGTTTACTAGCCCTGTGCTCCTGTGCAAATAATCAAACTTCTCTGACCCTTGGAACCCTCGTTTTCCAAATGAGGGTGATTTTACCCTACAAGGCTGGGAAGTCTAAGTGATCTAATGGAGGCAAAGCACCCAGAGCAGAGGCAACATAACCTCACTCAAGTGTTGTTTCTTTTCTTTCTCCTCCGGATTCTCTGGATCATTGCCTCATCTCACCCTCAAGCTAACTCTGAAAATAACGATTATGGGTTAGGTTTCTGAATGTCACCTGAAAAATTCAAATTGTACCACCTGCATCTCAACTGAGAAGGGCTTACCGTAGCCTAACTCCCCTCTGGGTTAAAATCCCCTTTGGTGATGTCCAGTTCCTGACGCGAAGCAGGCACTGGGAAAAGTGGTCAAATGAATGAGTGGGTCTGATGCAGAGAGATGATATATCCTGGGAAAGTCTGTTATGGGGGTGTCCAGTTGTCTTCATAAAAAACATTCTCATCATCAGGGTGACTGAAGCTGACATCATAGTCAGGCGGCGGAGTGAGAGGCTCCAACCTGGGGAGCGACTCCAATTTGGGGAGCATGCCCAAGCTCTGCAGATCAAGAGCAGTGGACGCAACTCGTGGTCCCCGAAGCCGAAGGCTGATCGGAGCTCTCCCAGCACTTCCTGGGGCCATAGACCCCTCTGAGCCCACTCGCCTTTCCACTCTGGCTCTCCTGGGCACCTCTGGATGGTCAGGCTGTCCCTCCACAAGTCCTGGGGAGATTACCACACTGCTGTAGGGAGGTGGTTGATCCAACTCTTGGGGGTGGCACTGTGATTCCAACACCACGGCCTCTTCATAGGGTGGCACCTCAAAGGCTTCATTGTCCCTGACGAAGGAGAAATAAGGTCATTGGTGGCTTACTGAAAGGAGCCCTTTTCTATCTTCTACCAACAAAAGACCCCTCCATAGCCTCTGCCCCCTCCTCTCACTGATACCAGTGATAGAGGTGGAAAGCAGAGCCTGTATGTCTGAGAGACTACTAGAGAGACACAGGGAGAATGGGCACAGCACAGCGATTTTTCATCCGGTGTGCTCCAAGGATTTTAAAACATGCAATACCTGACTACTTAGTCAAGGGCACTGACCTTCCCCTTAGGCTGTCTAAAAGAATAACAGTAGCCATCACAACAGTAGCTGTATGGTGTGAATGAATCAAAATTATACCTATTATTTTTGTCAGATTGGCAAAAAAAATACATTTTTTGGTGTGCTGCAGAATTTTAGTAATTAGTTTATGTGTGCCATGAGATGGAAAAGGTTGAAAATCACGGGTACAGTATATTCCTTCAATCCCACCCACCCTTTGACTCACCAAGCATTGCCTGAGGCCCCTGGGCTCTCCGGCTGCACTGATTGGAACACCCGTTCCAGAAAACGGGCCAGCAGGCAGGCAAACATGAAGAAGCCACCCAAGGCCAGAAAGAAATAAGCAACAGGGACGGTGTCCGGCTGTATGCCCAGCAAAGCCAGCCCCAGGAAGAAGGAGGCACAGCACAGGTAGAGAAGTGGCTTCTCCAGTCTCCCCCACAGCTGGCTCGGCAACATGGCCCCTCCCCAGGCTCCTGCAAAAAGACACACAGCTGTTGTGTCTCGACCAGCAACTGGCATCATGGCTGGGACAGATTCCAAAGTAACCATATCAGACACCTTCTGGGGGTTTCAGGCTCTTCGACCTCAAATCAAATAAATGGCCAAAATAAATGGTCATCAGTGTCCTCTCCAGTTCTGTAATTCTCTGTAGGTTCACTCTGTACCGGGTCCCAGGGTATCAGGATGTGTGGAATAAGCCAGGACACCTGCCCAAGAGTTCTGATTCCCAGCCATCAAGCCAGTTTACTGCGTCAGGGACCTGGCCCCCTTCCTTTTTCCTTCTTCCCTGGATTCTCCCAGTTCTATCATTCCACATCAGGATCTAGTCCTGGGTGGGCCCTGGGACCTTGGGGTTCACTGACATCTCTGGAATCCAGGTGATGGGGCAGGCCCTGCCCTTTTTCTATTACTGCTTGCACTGGACCTCCATTCCCCAGCTGCCCAGCCAGGGCGCCCAGTAAGACCCTGTTGGGGTGAGTAGGGAGTTGGGGGCACCACTTACCTCGTGTCTGACCCCACCTTCACATTTCCTCCACTCAGTCCATTCTCGGTTGGAGGGAGAAAATGCACATAGACACAACATAGCCACAGGGCCACAGCTAGGAGAGAATCTTACAAAGGCCTAGGGCCATGGACAGAAGCCAGATAACCTCTGACCTCTCTACACTTCACTCCCACCGGAGTCCTCCACCCTCTCCTGGGTCTAACTCAGTCAGCTCACATTTCTAGTTTCCTGCCTGCAGTAAACAGGGGCTGGGAGGTCGGTGGGAAGAAGACGCTTCTTTCCTTTGCAGCACAGCGGCAAGGCAACTCGCAGGCAACCATGTCAGGAGTTCCCTGAACTCTGCACAGCAAGGACTCAACAGACTCTACAAAGGGGCCAGGCCCCCTCCTTACACCCCTGCCCCAATCCCATGACCCTCCCGCCACCTGTCACTCACCTTAGGAGTTCCTACCTCACCAGTCTGGACCAGACACCAAAGAAAGTAGGTTGTGGGGGAAGTGGGAGGAGGAGAGGAGGTGGAGCCCACTGGCCCCACCCTCTTTTTTGCTCCAGTCTCAGAGTTCCAGCCCAGGCTTCATTTTCCCCCCTTTCTCCATCAGGCTGACCTCTTGGGGCCCCGCCTTGATTTTTTTTCTCACTCCATCCACCCCCTTCAGTGCCTTAATGAGAGTGCTTTCCTCCCACCCCTGTGAACTTTGTACATAGGACCAGAGTTAAAATCACCTGTCCTTATCCATTCTCAATTCACAGTGTATTCAGAGCAGTTTGCCTTATGTTGAAGGAATATATATTGTGCCTGCGAGCAGAGATCACGGTTTGTTTTAATCTCTGCAGATCATACCGTGCTCTGCAGACTGTAAGTACTGCTGTGGGCCTGGAATGGCGTGTTCTGCTTTCACTGCCACAGTACCTTTTCTATGAACTGGTTGTTTTCTGCAGGCCTGTAAGATGAGTCTGTGTGTATGCTTCTTGGCACGGTTAACTCTTGATTCTTCAAAAGCCACCTCTAAGGTCATGCCTGCTGTGGAGGCTGTCTCCTCGCTGTGACCACAGCACTTCATCCTATTCCAGTCTCAGCCTTTACCTGTTTCTATAGTAATTTTCTGTTTATATACTTTTCTTCCACTGCAAGAAATCATGGAGAGTGATTAGTTTTCAGTCATCTCTAAATCCCAGCAACTAACTCAGGCCCTGACATATAGCAGGTGCTTACTAAACACAATGGAGGCCCAAGACCCACTCTTTCAGTTGTGGGTCAGGCAGTAAATCTGGGTGAGGGAGATGCTGGGAGGGGAGGTGCAGAGTGGCTGGCAGCACACCTTGTCCTTGAGACTCAGAAGGACAGACAAGGCTGGGTGCCATGCCTTCAGAGAGTTACCACTGGACAAATGGAGGGGAATAGCAGGTAACGGGGCAGAAGTCTAATCCCAAGGACAGTCATGGGGCATAGCCTGGGCTGTTGCAGTAGATCATGTGGAGCCTATGTGTGTGTGTGTGTGTGTGTGTGTGTTAACCGTATAATAGTGGAATGCCCATGATGATGAGTCTCTGTCCCAGACCGACGGAGAGGAGAGGGAAGAGATGTAACAGGAAGGCTGTTGTATAAATCAGGTGTGTCTCTGTCGACATTGGGAATGCCAAGTGCGAGGAGAGCTGATTGTTATTTTGCTTCCACCAATTTCCTTACTGTTCAGCTCTCATATGGGAAAAGTGTGGCTGGGGTCAGAAGAATTTCAGTCTGCAGTTAATATGCTAATAGAAGGGAACTGGCCAACAGCCCTTGGTATATATAATAAGTGTAGAGGTAAGAATGTCTAAACCTGCAGAGAATTTTTATGAGTTTATTTGAGCCAAAACTGAAAATTGCTGGGAAGCAAGATCTAAAATGCTCTGAAGAATGACAGGGTTGCAGTTTCTTTTATGCATTGGGAATTAAGGAGAGAACACAAGGAAGGTGGAGAGAGCAAGGTGGGCAGGGATGGCATTACAGGATAAGTTTGCGTGCTCTCTTGAGGGGGAGTATGTCTTCAAGGGGTATTACTTCTGGTATTTCAAAGTTGTGTTTAACCTAGATGCACCCAGGGCAGGCTTAAAAACCTTTCAGTATAGAAGTGAAAGGCCCAGGGCACAACTACCCACTGTGACCTTCCCAGTTAGGAATTTATGATTAGATCCCCCTGTGAGGTTACTTTCCCTTTTCATCCACAACATCTGGTAACATGTAATTTTCCCTCCTTTTTTGATTTGTTTCCTCCAGTTGAATTCTGCCGGAAGCTGGTCCATCCTTGCTGCTTGACACAGTTGCTGCAGGAAAGAAACATCTGCACAGCATATGTTTCAAGGGACCTGGCGTATATGGCATACTGTTCTTAATATGTTTGCTCCCCTACTTAGCACTATGTGTTTTAACCAAGGTCACCTCTCTGAGAAAGGTTGTTTCCCCAGGTGGGGATTTTTCCCTGGAGTTAGGGATTAACAGGACTAAGGAAGGGAATAAATCAGTAAAACCTCTTAACTAAGTGCCAGGTGGGTAGTTAATCACTTTAACTATGAACAATCACGCTTAAGCTACATAATCTTTACTTAGGATAGGAATGGAGATAACAAATGCCCTAACCTTTGGAATAGAATGGATAGGATTAAAATCAACTGGTATAAATACAGATGTAACAGGAGAATAAAGACAGAACCTGGCTGGAGGACCTGACTAGAGAACCTGGTTAGGCTGCTGATCAACTGAACGCAAACTCCGTGTCATTTCTTCTTCGCCGACTCTATCCACACCTTCGGGAACCCCTGGACCTGCTGAGGTTGGACCCCAACAGAATTCTAAGAAGTGTCATTACTGAGATAAGCAATTTGAAAGTGTTTATTGCCCAGAATACTCATGGCCAAATTGCTTCCCAAAGCTCTTATTATTTTCTTTATCAATTTAGCATCCTTAGCAATTGCCCATCCATTTTCTACTTGCCTACCTTCCACAAACCACCTTCGTAAAAGTTGGTTGACCCCTCTCATCTGGCCACTGTGCCCAACTCATTTGTGGGGATAATGGCAAAGGGAAGTGAGGGGCCCAGACAGCGTGGCTCAGTGGTTGAGCATCAACCTATGAACCAGGAGGTCATGGTTTGATTCGCAGTCAGGGTATATGCCAGGGTTGTGGGCTCGATCCCCAGTAGGGGGCATGCAGGAGGCAGCCAGCGAATCAATGTCTCTCTAATCATTGATGTTTACCTCTCTCTCTCTCTCTTCCCCTGCCAGGGCTGACCAGCAGCCCCTGAATGATGGATGAACAGATTACCCCAACACAGTTTCATTATGGGGGAGAGGGATAAGGGATGGCCCAGCTGAAGAAGCCAGGCAGCCACAATTGCCTGCCTCGTTAGCCTTTTTTTTGTACAGCAGGTTGAGATAAAGTTTATCTTTTAGATACAATCAGCAGGTAAGTAATATTGGGAGGACACATGTGTTTACATTGTCCTCCATGCAAGGCCACCCAGGGATTAAGCATAAGGATTCCAGTAAACACCCAGAGGTCTGCACATGCACAGACCGGTTTGGAAAGGTCAAGGAATAATTAGGGGCGCCACCTTCAACACTCCCCTAAATCTCCCCTAAGTCAGAATTCCAATAAACAGGGAAGATGGCCTTCCACACACTTCCCTTTTCTCAGAATATCCTCCTTACAACTTTCCATCCAAGTCTCTTGTGCTCCTCAACATCTCCCTTCCTCTCTGAAATCAATATAAACATGTTTTTTAAAAAGGGAAGTGTGGGGACAGGGGAAAAGGGAGAAGCAGAGATCATTGACAGACTTCCAGTGAGTCTACCACTGAATGCTTCTCTAAGACTATATTTCTGTGATTTTGTGCTTCTGAATATGGGTCTGCTTTATACTGTGACCAGCATGTGTGCATTATTTTGTGTACTGCTCACTGTGCTAAATTCTTTATGCAAATTAAGTAATTTAAAATATGTAATAAGAGGTACTGTTATTATGTCCATTTTATGGGTGAAGTCAGACACTTGAGGAAAATGTATAGCTAATCAAGGGTGGGGTCAAGACTTGAACCTTCAATCCCAGTCCAGAAACCTGGCTCTTAACCATTATGCCCACTCTAAACATTCTTTTTGGCTGCCCTCATAATGATAATTTAATGAAACACCTGTGATATTCTAAGACCTTTATTCTGATCTTCCCTGGAGAAGTGGTTAGATGCTATTGCCTGTTGCAAAGGCAGCAAAAGAGAATATCAGAAAATGACGTAAGATATTGACTATAAGGCAAGACTGGGAAATTAAAATCACAGGCTCTGTATCAGGATGCTTATCATTTATGAGCTCATTAAGTCTGATTGTGAAAGGTAACACTTGTAACTGAATGGCTCTGGAAGCCCAATGTGCGGGTGATTTCTTCTAAAAGGGTGTTGGTGGTAATATATATGTGTGAAGAAACAATTTGGCCCACATCCATGATTTTCATTTGATCCTTAATAACAACCACATGGGGGCAGTCTGATGATCATTTTCATGTTATAGCTCAGAGAAAGTACATGATTTGTTTCATTAGAATCAAACGTAGAATCTTGACCTCTTAACTTGGTTGAGAGTGTTTTTCTGTCAGTTGCCTTTCAGCTCTTCAAATGTGTA